ATTTAACGAATCAATTTCAATCAGACTGTTAAGGAGCGACAAAGACCCCAACCCAGTCCCTACAGTCCCTAACAACACTGGTACATTGACGAACTAAGAAAGAAAGAATACGGACTGAAACTCTCCGTGAAAGATCTAGACTCCAACAAAATGACTACCTGAGACGTGACAAACTAAAATTTAACAGGCCCACAATTAATATCATCCCTCACGACACTTTCTTAACGATGGATAGACACTCAACCACAACCACCAAAAAGACAAAACAATCCACATACAAACCTCCACAATGATCCCCCAATCATCACTTAAAATACTCCAACACAATGTCCGACACTGGAATAACAAAAAATCTACATTAGTAAACATTTATAATAACATTGATCCCGACATCATACTAATCAACGACTACTCCATCACCGACAACAACACACAACTCGAGATATTCAACTATAACGTTCACTGCTGTAACAAAGAAAACACAATACACGCTGGCGCAGTGAGGTACATGCTCGCCATCACAGTAGACACTCAACTAGGACCCATAACAATAGGAACAATTAACATACGTCCCACCACGCGCAGACCACATTAACTATATCTACTTCCACACCCTACTGAACAGGCCTCATCCCGTTTACCTAATAGCAGATTTAAACACAAGACACACAACACTAGGAAACTGTAGCTCTAACCAAATAGGCAGACAACTACACTATCTAATAGCCCAGCGCAAATGCACCCACATCGGCCCCTACTTTCCCACTCTCATAACCAACAACATCACCAGATAGAATCATACACAACAATAAGGCATTCCATAACATACACCTTATACCAGGACCTATCACACCCTCCGATCACATTCCCTTTATAGCCACCATCTCTGCGAACCCCATACAAATACCCATTCGTCCTCGCAGATCTTACCACAGAGCAACCTGGACCTTATACAAACAAACTCTATCGCAACACACAGTTCCCACACGACCTGACCCAACACTAGGAGACACACTTGAAAAATTGGACAAAACACGTACAGGACGCCACCAAAACTTCGATTCCGACCATAACACACCGCATCGTTCCCGGCATCAAACCCACCCACGAAACACTTCTCATACAAATACAATATCAAGCCACTTTCCAGTATATCCACATTCACGGCCCATCAATAGCACTAAATAGACAACTCATAGCCCTACGCGAACAACTACACACTGCATACAGACACCTCCAAGCGCAGACATGGCAAGACCTCATTAACTCGTTGGAAACACAAACAGACCCCAAAAAATTCTGGTCCTCCTTAAAGCGCATGCTAGGTTCCAACACAAAACAAGCTGTCCCATACCTCAAACACAACAGCATAAACATGACACACCAGAACAAAAAGAACCCATATTCCGTAAACACTGGCAGGACATATTCACCCAGGACGACATTGACAACGAAGATTTTAACATTGAACACATCCGCACCATACAAGACCTCGTAAAAAACAATACACACCTCATTGATCCATACAATCACGGCAGCCTTACCCGACTTCACCCAGTTGACTTCCCACCCCTCACGACAAAAGAACTACAGCGCACTTTGAAAACATTCAAACAGAAGGCACCGGGCCCCACTGGCATCACAACCCTCCAGCTCAAACATCTCCCCCAAAACATTATAAACTACCTGCTATACATATACAACCATTCCATATCGGCCGGATATTTCCCAGACTCCCTCAAACACGCCCTAATAATCTTCCTCCCTAAACCCAACACATCACAACACCAAGTTCAAAACTACAGACCGATTTCACTATTAGACATACAGAGGAAACTCTTAGGCAAAATACTAAACAACAGATTATACGAACACCTCAGCATAAGCAACATACACAACACCAGACAACACGGTTTCAGGAAACACAGAGGGACGCACACAGCATTAGCCACATTCCACGAAGCACTCGCCATACACCTAGCACAAAGACATACCATAGGCATAGTACTCCGCGATGTGACCAAGGCCTTTGACAAGGTCTGGCATACCGGACTTCAATATAAATTAATAAAACTAAACCACCACCCGTACTTTACAAAAACTCTAGCTGGCTACCTCACAAACAGAACAACTTCAATCCGAATAGGCAACCACATAGGTCCTCCTATTCAACTACACACAGGCGTCCCCCATGGCGCCTGTCTTACACCCACCCTATATAGCTTCTACACCCACGACCTCCCACCAACACTTCCCAATACAGAATATATAACATTCGCAGATAACATCACACAAATAACAGCCGGACGATACCCACCTAAATACGCAGCGAAACAAACACAACACGCCATCCAGCAGATAAACGCATTTGAAAACAAATGGCTAATTAGAGCGAATACAAACAAATTTAAAATTATCCCCATCACTAGGTGCAAAACATCAGACATAATCATCAACAACACTCACTACCCCTACACAAACAGAGGAACATTATTAGGATTAAATTTCACATCACACGGTTTTAGGTCCCAGATATCAACCAGGAAATCAATAGCTCTCAGGCATTTGCAGAAAATATACAGATTATATAACCTCTCACCCAACATAAAACGCACTCTATATCTAACCTTTGTCAGATCCTCTTTCATTTACCCACCGATACCACTACACACCACATCCAAGACATCAATATCTCAACTTCAGAAAATACAAAACAAGGCCCTAAAATTCATTTCAAACACACACTGGTCCGATTTCATACCCTCAAAAACACTACACGAGCAATTTGACATCCCAACCATAAACACAGTCCTCCACCAGCAAGCCCGCAAAACATGGACCACCATAAGAACACTCGACTCCCACCTCTTCAATCGATTAGCAAGCCCTCCAGACGCCACTGCAAGACAACACCCTTCATTCAAGAGCTCCAGAACACTAGCATTAGGCCCACCACCCCCACCCATATACATATAAACCACCAACCCCCACAAACCTTAACAACCTATACTATACAACAGGCCATCTGCGCCTGGTCGGCAGTTGTCACAAACACGCCCAGGTGCAGTGGTCCGGACTACGTCTACAATTACGGACGAAATTCACCGAGAGTGACTCACAGTAAAGACGTGACCAAAGACTCAACGCAAACCCAGCAATACCAACCCCATGACCCTCGAGCAACTCTACATCATCATCATTGTCACCATCATCCCCCCCCCGAAAAAAGTATAAAAAATTAAAAATACCTAATCAAGCGAAAAAATGAAAAATATATATATAAATTTAGCGAAAACTTATATAAAGCACAAACTCTATGACCTATCCTTTCTATAGCACTTGCTACTATAGATAACGTAAAAAAATTAACCACAATCTACCCCATACTCACTCATGAAAAATCATCCAAAGCCCTGACGGGTTCCCCCCCCCCTTACCTAACTCAAAGACCCTTCAAAAACCCACCGTTAACCTAATCATGCGCATAGCGCCTTATTCTGATCTCTTTCTGTTATTTCCATTTCTCCTTCATCTTTCTGGCCACTCTGTGCCGCCTCTTATTTCTTCTCACAAATTTCCTAGTGGCACCGCACCACCACCACCACACAAATAACCTCTGGACGCTACCCTCACAACTACGCAGCACTCCAATCACAACACGCCATACAACAGATCAACACCTTCGAAAACAAATGGCTCATTAGGACTAACACAAACAAGTTTAAAATAACCCCAATGAATAGGCGAAATAGATCTGACATATTCATTAGACAATACACACTACCCATACACAAACAACGGAACTGTCCTAGGATTAAATTCACAGTACATGGTTTTAGGTCCCAAAGAACAGTTAGGAAAGCAATTGCTTCTACCAATCTGCTCAAAATAAACAGGTTCTACCACCTCCCTCCCAACATAAAACGCACCTTATACCTTACTTTTGTTAGATCATCCCTCATTTATCCCCCAATACACACCCTACCCAAAACAGCAATATCCCAACTGCAGAAAGTCCAGAACAAAGCACTTAGATTCATCACAAACACAAACTGGTCAGACTTCATATCCTCGCAAACACTACACGAACAATGTGACATCCCCACCATAAACACAGTCCTCCACCAACAAGCCCGTAAAACCTGGTCCACCATCAAGACATATGACCCACAACTTTTTAAACAGCTAACTTTACCACCAGTCACCATTGCAAGGCAGCACCTGTCAATCCATAGCTCCAAATTACTCGCACTAGGTTCCCCACCCCCACCTCTGCATAAATAACCTGACCAATTACGCTGACGGACTGACACGACTCACCGAGAGTGACGCACAGTAAAGACGTAAACGAATACTTGTTATACGCAAAACCTAACATACCCTCCCTGACCCTCCTCTGAGTCTCGAGCGACTCACCCCCAATCATCTGCATCATCATCAATCATCTTCACAAAAAAGAAAAATTATTTATGAATAGATGCAAATAGAAAAAAATAAAAACTAAAAAAATGAATAAAAAATAATAAATAAATAACTAAAAAAATAAAAATAAATAAATAAATAAATAAAATAAATTAATAACATGAAAAAAATGCATCTATGTGTATATATTGTTTATAAAACAGCGAAACGCATTTATAATGTAAATACTGTAAATAAAGTACCACCAAAACCCCATCACCCCCTCGTGTAAACTATCCAAAGCCCTGACGGGTTCCCCCTCCCCCCTTTCCAACCCTAACCATACCCCACGCACCAAAATTCAACCTAATTATGCGCTATGCGCCTATTTCATCTCCTACTGTCTTTTCAATTTCTCCTTCCTCTGTCTGGCCACTCTGTGCCCCCTCTTGTTTTTTTTTCCCCTACACTTTCCTAGTGGCACCGCAACAAAAAAAGACTTGTGAACACGATCCTTCTGATAATAATACTAGTTTATGTTAGTTCTTTAAATTTCAGTTCATAGGCTATTATTCTTTTCTCGCCCCTCATCTGTTCAGAAGCCGGATCTGGTGTATCAGCTGGGGTGTGAGTGGCACGGCCATCTTGAGCAGTGCACCGAGACCAAGTGGGAGTGCAAGTCGGTGCAGAGAGATGGCTTCAGCCTCGTGCATGGCATCAGAGGGCGCTTTTTAGGAGACGAACATATCGAGTTCAATATGTACAGCCGGGTAAGCAATAAAAATAAAAATGGAGTGAGTGCGACCAGTGATCAAAATTTTTTTTTTAGAAGTGCGTGATAAGTGTAGAATAAAGTGAAAATCTAGTCATTATATTAACTATATAAAGACATGAATGCTTAAAACGACTCTGTTCATAAAGTGACACGCGACTGGTATTGCCAGATTATTTTCCGTTCGTGGGAAGAGCACGTCCCAGGGGAGCCAATGAGCGCTCTTGTCTCCCGCCTGCAGGAGTCGTTGAAGTCTTCTGTGAACCGCGATTTTTGCAGGTGCAAACTAGAGGCGTTATTCAGGTTCTTCATCGATGGAAGTTCCTACGAAGAAGAGTTCGTGAAAAGTATCGAAAAATTTTGCACGACTTAACCCCAATCGCAGAATCTCCAAGTTTCATAAACAGCCCAGCGTGAAGGTCGTAGCGGCACCGTAGACCGGCAAACTGTGTGGTTTGCTTGAAATTTCAGTACATCAGAATTTATGTTTGTGTTTATTTATTTATTGAATTCCTGCCTATTTGTCAACTTGTGTATTTCAAACAGCGTACTCAAATTATGCCCATTATCCAGCTGAATTTTCAAATTTTCCCTTCAACTCAAACAATACAGCAACAAATGCTTGATATTCTTTAGGGAATGCATTCTTTATAGCGAACCATCAACATACTGGCTTCTGCATCATTCATACTCCACAAATGGTAGAATGCCTGTTCTTGAACTGAGCTCACCGACCGCCCCGATCACGGTCACTCTGTCCTTCCTCTACTTTAAATTAGGGAAGCTTTCTCGCAGCATTTCTTTCTCCCACATGCTGTATTTTTGCCAGTTTCGAAGCGAAAATGCCAATTTCCTGCTATTTGTGAACTATAGGCAAAGGCACGAGAGGAATTTGACATCGTCTTCGTCGTTGAAAATCCAAATCACAATATTTCGGCCACCCGTCTGACCTTTCATTAGGTGTCAGAAATCGCTGATGGAGTTCATAAAAACGACGAAAGCCTAATGTTGATCTCAATAAAATTTCTGCCATAACCAAATGCAGGTTAAATTAAAGCGAGAAAATCGGAGCGGTGGTGGATTTAAATTTCTTTAAAACCACTTTTTCTTAACACTCGATGAGTTTCCGCGAACATTACAACAAATAAATTCCTAAAGTAAAATTCATTCCTACAGTTCAAGGTCCGTTAGCCCGTTGTCTCGACCGAACCTTCATTGAATGCAATATTTATCTTGACTTGATATTTGGGCGTTAGGAAATGATACGATATGATTGGACACCATTCGATATTCCAGCAACATTTAGGCTTGCGTTATTATGTCTGTCATTGTAGTTTATTTTATCAGGACTTGTTATTTTCTTCTTATATCATGCATCGTTTATTTAAATACTCCGAAAGCGTAACTATTAAAATTCGTAACAAAGTTTCTTCAAATGTTGAACATTATAAAGTTTTCAGTTTAAACTCGTAGTCTTTCGATATTATTTCCAATTCATTAATTTAGTCATGTCTTTTATTTTAAGGTTCCCCAAGTGATTACAAAATCACAATGATGTTATTTTAAATCAGATAGCGGTGCAGAAACTGCGTAAAATCTCCATTTACCTCACAGTGGCTCTAATTTGAACATTCAAAGACGCCAGCATATACACGTATGTACAAGTCAAACGTACGCCGCGAAAAAAAATTTTTCAGGCGATAGCAGCTACGATCTTACTAATTAATCTCCGGAAACTTCTAATATGCCATTGAGGGTTCAAGAAAATACGATCAATGAAGGCGGTGACATCAAACGGCGGACTTTCCGATGCCTGTTTTGAACCTATTTTTGTCTTCATTGTCTGCAACGGTAAGCATTAATGTCGTTGTTTTGCAACGCAGAACTATTTTCCTGAAGTGCCAACCAAAAAATGTAACAAACTCAAATTTATGAATTTAAAGCACAATGTTTGTTGATATGTTGAATGCAAAGGATTTTAAATAAATGAAATTGATTCGTTAATATTTAGTGAGAAATTTCATAACCAAAGTATATTCAATGCCGAACCAGGTATATGGTTGATTTTATAACGGAAGTTCGATTATAGCCATTTCAAAATTTTCTGAAGGAAATTCCTGTACAAAAATCTTTGCTCACTATCATATAATCTGGTCTATGCTACGATTTTTGCTCATTACTCAAAATAGCTTCGAATACCTCTCACAAACAAGGCTTTTCTACTCACCTCTTAGCCTATGAATGAAATCAAAAGCTCATGTAACATTTATATTGCATGATATAAATTAGAGCGTTTTTATACGCTCTTGATGCCTAAACGGGTACGGAGCGACGATTTTCCTCCGACTTTATTCAGGAAATAAGTTACTTCCTGCCATCAAATGATCCTCCGTACACGCATTCAGCGAAGTAACGCTCAGAGTCCGTGGTGTGAAACTGTCTCCGAGGTTTGCTCATTTCCTAATCTAGAGCGAAATTATGACTATATAACAACGCTCTAATTACATTAACAAAAACTCTGCCTGAAGCTAATTGGATTTTTTACGTAGACTGGTACTTTATAAAATTGACCAATCATCTCCAAGTTGAATCGCAATTTAATTGGCCAAAACCGAGCTTGATTACTCTAGAAATTCTTGAAGTTCAAAAGAACTCGAGTTTGTTAAATAAATAAATCAGGTTGAAGTTACAATTTTAGTGAAATTCTAGCCATGGTCCTAATCCAATATTTAGCTTCGAGGATGTTTTCATTATTATTTAACGGCAAAGGTGAGCTGCGTAAACTTAGCACACTTCACTAATCATTATAGAAATTGAACAATATGAAGCAATAATAATTGTAACAATGAGTTTATTAATAAGACGCTATTTAGATCCAATAATGACTACTCTAAACGATCAATTCAAAAAACATTGTGATACAGCCTTCTTATGTTGTGGTTGATTTAAATTTCAGTGCGCCGAAATATTGGCACCCATTCAGAATTGTACCTTTGAATTTTTTCAATACACGAAGGCTTTGTTAGTGATGAAGTCACTGCAGTGGCAAGATGTGGTAATGGTGCTGGGGGCATTGGGCGCAGTTGCGTTATGGCACCGAGGGGGTCTTCACACCATCACCACAGTCTCCGAGCCAAGCCACCTCTACCCGACGCACCCCGTACCATTCGTGGTTACCTTGTGCTCAGGTCTGTGATCGAACCAATTTATTGGCTTTATCTTCTCAGTAAAATTTTGAAACGTGGCAATATTTAGTTATTTATCAATACCAACGGTAACATTAGAGTTGAAGTTAATGAACTTGTGAAACTAAGTAATGATTAATAGTCGCCGTTCATCTATCAAGCAGCTGTAGGTAGACGACACTGTCGACATCCGGCAAAACTCTCGGCAGATAAAGTCGCTCGGTTGAGCATCTGTCTTACATTTCCAAGATTGAATATTCTTTTGGTACGAAGATTGGCTTAAATTGCAGTAAAATTCGGCTGGAGAATTCTGGAGGCCATTGAGCATTTTTTTGCAGACATTCTCGTAAATTTCGATGTCATCGCTCAGCAAGATAAACCTGTAATGGTGAACATAAGATGTTAATAATTTTCTGTTATTACTTGGATTTGAGGATTGCACGTACGGTGTTCAACGTCATAGTCATCTGTTAGATTCATTATCATAACCCCCCTGAACGAAGCAATTATGAATCATTTTATAAGTTTTTACTCTAGTGGCAGTAAATTTGTGTGAAATATTGGCACCGGATATGTTGCCATGTTTTTACATAAGTGAGTGAGTTGTCATAACAGAATTGCCGACACGAATAAAGATGCCTTTGAGCTCAGCAGGCAAAGTTCGGGAGCACGTAAAGGTTGGAAATAATATTAACGGTTTGAGTGCAAGCTATGTTTAAAAATTTACCTCATTGCATTACTTTCTGTAATCGATAATTCAGAAGTGCGCGACCGACATTGATTGACTCACAATTTCCGAAGGCTTCCTCTGCAGCGTATATGGAAATCATATTCGTTAGCGTTTCCCCAATATCCAGTCAAAAATATTCTCTTAGCAATTTAAATTCCATCTCTGTTGCTGAAGCTCACAATTGTCCACCATTTACATATAAAATTATCAGATTTTTCCTTTCTTAATGTTATGTACAGAGGTCAAAACCTTTTAATATGAATTCTTATGTCAAGGTCGAAAATTCAATAAGAAAAGCTGCACAGAAGAAATTCACGAATATAAAACAACTACATGCAGTTTTTTTCACAAGTTTTTCATAGATATGCTTAATATCCACCGCTAATACCTTTCATTTTTCAAGATTTCTACGCATATTTTCGTTTTTTTATAATTTTGGTCGGTAGTATAGCGTATATATACAGAAATTTAAAACAATGTATCACGGAAAACCAACACGTACATCACGGCTGGCACAAATATAATGTTAATATCTTTGTCAGCTTTGTGGTTACGTAAGCTTTTGGCTGCATAGTTAACTTACAATATACAAAATATGGACAAAAATTGCAGTAATATGAGTTTGAATGCAATACCTGAACCACGGATGTGTAGTGATCTTGATAGTATTGTTAGAATAAGATAAGCTTTAGACATCTTGCTAGCTTAATCCTGTACATATTGTCAACCTTAATCCCTTTAATTGTCAGTTACAGGCTATGTGTATAATAATAGAAACAATATTCAATATCAGCCGATATAAAAATCATAGTCAATTATAACAATCATAAATTGCGAGTGTTTTACAATACTTTTAAACTCCGATAAGAACAATTATAATATAGAACGCTAGAACAGCAACTATATAGCACAATTTTGTATCAAACGATGGCAACATTTTAACGTCCCGATTTTTCCGGAAGGCCTATTTTGAGCTCCATTGATTCTAGCCCCAGACACGCTAAAGAAACGTGCCCTCCGACGTGCCCTCCATAGTAGTACTCTATGTTGTGATCTTATAAGAATTGGGTCTCGCTTATATATCATACATGAAAGAAATATTCCCTCACGCCTTTTAACTCCGCATTGCATTGTCTGGCTGAATCTGACCACAATAAACAAAATAAATTGGCCTCTCTTTATATCCACCATACAACCTAAATTTCTCATTCATTGGTTGCACCCAACTACCTCAGATGTTTTCAACAAAAGCGCAAATTTGTTGGGTAATTCGTGTGCATGTATGTTGTCTGTAATTTTCCAAAGAAACGCAGATTGATCACTGGGATTCTTGATATAAAATACTCAAATGAGCGTTTTATTCATTTTACGCGGTGAGTTTTGCAATTTTGACGCGGATGCTTGGATTAGCTCATGCTAATTTGTATGTATGTTCAACACCACAACTACGTGCAAGTTTCACTGACAAATTTTCAGTTGCTGCGTATACATGATTTTAGCCAAAACATTATCATATACAAAAATCCTCATATACAATATTCTTCTGACATGAACTACATGTAGTATATGAGCAGCAAATGTGCATATATAAGTAAACTTGTTAGGCAAGTCACATGCAGTTATGTTCGAACGCCGTGATTCAAGAATAAATTAGT